ACTACCTAATAAGAACACCCGCTCACGTGCACCCGCTCAGCACGGTATCCACGCCTACCACCTAATAAGAACACCCGCTCACGTGCGCCCGCTCAGCACGGTATCCACGCCTACCACCTAATAAGAACACCCGCTCACGTGCACCCGCTCAGCACGGTGCATTTGCTTGAAGTGGTTCTTGTTCGTGCAAGACATCCCCTTGGTTGAAACGTTTTTTGGGGGAAGAGCAATCTTTTTGTTTGTGACAAAGTGTGGCAAGACACATGTGCTGAGGTGGACATGTCATCCCTTGACCAAATCAACCCCTTTGCTGAAACACTTTTTCCACGAACCTGATGTTTTTTTGCTGAAAGGGTTGTCGCAAACCCTCGATTTTTGCAAAAATAGAGGGTTGACAAAAAGCTACTTTTGATGGATGGAACAGCGAAAAACACCGCTATTTGCAGGGTTTCGTGAGGTTTCAGCTAGCTTGTCCCTTCATGGCCGCGGCATTATGTCGGTTCGGGGCGTTGTTGTTGTTGTTGTTGTTGTTGTTGTTGTTGTTGTTGTTGTTGTTGTTGGTTGCTGTTGGTTGTTGTTTGTTGTTGTTTGTTGTTGTTTGTCGTTTGTTGTTGTTTGTTGTTGGTTGTTGTTGGTGGTTGTTGTTGTTGTCGTCTGTTGTTGTTGTCTGTTGTTGTTGTTGTTGTTGTTGTTGTTGTTGTTGTTGTTGTTGTTGTTGTTGTTGTTGTTGTTGTTGTTGTTGTTCTTGTTCTTGTTCTTGTTCTTGTTCTTGTTCTTGTTTGTTGTTTGTTGTTTGTTGTTTGTTGCTTGTTGTTTGTTGTTTGTTGTTTGTGGTTTTGTTGTTTGTTGTTTGTTGTTTGTTGTTCCCTCCGATGGGGTGTTTCCGCGCGCTTTTCGCGTTTCGTTTCCCACTGTAAACAAGGGTTTCAGGGCCATTTTTGACGACCTGCGCGCGGGTTTGGAGCAGTGGGCGTATGTTGCGTTCACGGGCACACTTTCATGACTGAGCGCACGCCTGCCACATGATAAGCACCCACATTGACGCACGCATTATCATCATTGCGTGCATGCACACATTATCATCATTGCACACATTATCATCATTGCGTGCGTGCCTGCCACATGATCAGCATCCACGTTCACGCACACATTATCATCATTGCACACATTATCATCGTTGCGTGCATGCGCGCATTATCATCATTGCACACATTATCATCATTGCGTACATGCCTGCCACATGATCAGCATCCACGTTCACGCGCACATTATCATCGTTGCGTGCATGCCTGCCACATGATCAGCATCCACGTTCACGCACACATTATCATCATTGCGTACATGCCTGCCACATGATCAGCATCCACGTTCACGCGCACATTATCATCGTTGCGTGCATGCCTGCCACATGATCAGCATCCACGTTCACGCACACATGTACATGATCATTCATTATCATCGTTGCGTGCATGCCTGCCACATGATCAGCGCCCACGTTCACGCACACATTATCATCGTTGCGTGCATGCTGCCACATGATCAGCATCCACGTTCACGCACACATTATCATCGTTGCGTGCATGTCTGCCACATGATCAGCATCCACGTTCACGCACGCATTATCATCATTGCGTGCATGCCTGCCACATGATCAGCGCCCACGTTCACGCACACATTATCATCGTTGCGTGCATGCCTGCCACATGCTCAGCATCCGCGTTCACGCACACATTATCATCATTGCGTGCATGCCTGCCACTTGATCAGCATCCACGTTCACGCACACATTATCATCATTGCCCCAAGGGCATATTTGAACATCGATGAAAACAAGCAGCGTCTGTGGGCGTAAAAACCCCAAGACGCATTGAACAGACAGAAAACTCTGGACCGAAAAACCGCGCGGTGAGAGCCCATCGAAGCGTTGTTGTTTGTTGTTTGTTGTTTGTTGTTTGTTGTTTGCTGTTTGCTGTTTGCTGTTTGCTGTTTGCTGTTTGCTGTTTGCTGTTTGCGGTTTGCGGTTTGCGGTTTGCGGTTTGCGGTTTGCGGTTTGCGGTTTGCGGTTTGCGGTTTGCGGTTTGTTGTTTGTTGTTTGTTGTTTGTGGTTTGTTGTTTGTTGTTTGTTTGTTGTTTGTTGTTTGTGTTTTGTTGTTTGTTGTTTGTTGTTTGTTGTTTGTTGTTGGTTGTGGTTGTTGTTGTTGTTGTTGTTGCTGTTGTTGGTTGTTGTTGTTGGTTGTTGTTGTTGTGGTGGTGGTGGTGGTGGTCGTCGTCGTCGTCGTTGCTGCTGCTGCTGCTGCTGCTGCTGTGGTTGTTGTTGTTGCTGCTGCTGCTGTTGTTGTTGTTGTTGTGGTTGTTGCTGTTGTTGCGCTTGTGCTTGTGGTTGTGGTTGTCGTTGTCGTTGTCGTTGTCGTCGTCGTCGTTGTCGTGGTCATGGTTGTGGTTATGTTTTTTTTGTTGTTGTTGTTGTTGTTGTTGTTGTTGTTGTTGTTGTTGTTGTTGT